TTGTAACCACCCCAACTTAGAAAAGTTAAAAATTGATAAAAGCAATGACAGACTACAACTTAAAAGAAAATAAAAAACTACCAGAGGCATGCCATTTCTCCATATTGGGAGCATATTTATTTTGAACCACTCTCTCCTAAGTAGCCTACAGGGCCCATTCACAAGTAGTGGTTTAGAACAGCGGCCTATTGATGAGTCCATGCCAAAAGTGCTTTTCTTCTCACTATCCTGTTAAGAGTGCCTGGCTAGAAAAGGCTTTGGTCAACCTCTGGATTTCAGACAACTAGCTACTTCTTTTGAGAGCAGTATGAAGGTTCCCTTCTGCAGAAGCAATGTTTCTCTTGCACAACAAAATCACCATTCTGTGATTTTTTTTCCTTCTGGAACAGACTGGGCTCTGTGCTTCTCTCTGTAGAAAGTATTTGGAGCCATTCCTTCCCTCCTACATTCTTAACTACAAAAAATAGCCCATGTGCTGTCCTTTTGATACTGTGGGCCTGTGTTGTGGTAAGTCTGCTGCAGATTAATTCAATTAAACACCTTAAACTAAATCTGTCAAATATTTTTTCTTTTATGGGCTAGGTTTATTTGGCTAATGGGATCAACATATGTTATATTCAAAGGTAACCATTAAATAATTATAAACAAATAATTTCATCACATGCTTCTAGCCAATTTTGCATCTCCTGCCAGGTATAAAATATTCATTTTATTAAAGTTACAGTGAGTGTTTTGCACATAACCACTAAAAGTGAGGTTATTTTCAGATCAGCTGCTTATGCAATGTGATTAGCAAAATCACCCCATCTCCCTTCCATACCCACAAAAGATATTAGTCATTCCTTTGAATTAATACATTGAAACCCTCTATTAAAATTAAAATATTATCTACTAATAGACAAATGAAGCTATTAACATTCATCTCAAATTAGTTGATTCAATTCTCTAATCACTTAGCAAGATTCTTTGTGAAAGGGACCCTCATATGGTTAAGTTTTGAGGAGGGAAAGAAACATCCAGAATGTGGGTTGCTGTCTAAGAAGGGAAGATGGAGCTGGGGAGCTCTGTGTAGAATCAAGAACTACTTCAAAAGCATTGGAAGCCCAGGTGGAGGAGAGATTCCTAAAAAGTCAAGAATCAGACACTTGCTAAAGGATGAATAAAGCCATTAAAAGCAAATCTCCTTTACTGTCGGTTCTTCTAAGAGATAGCTGGCTCTTTCTCAGTATGTACCTGATGTAAGTGGTCAGTTTTTCACATTTTAGGAAATTCCCCAGCTTTCTGTGGGGATTATGCCAAGTAAGATTGAAGAATTCTCAGGGATCAATTGACTTCTTACTCAATTTTGGGTTCAACTTTTTTTTCAGACATAAAATTTTGTTGTTATCTAACAAAGACATTCTCTTTGCAGACTATCCAGTTATGGAATAAATAGAATTAAACCCAAAAGATCCTCTTAGTTCTAGGCTCACACTGTTTTCAGGGTACTCCCAAGCTACTTGCCTTGCATTTACTGGCATAGGCATCCATCCCTTTTCTTACACAAATAAAATAATATGTACTTGCTGAGTCTACCTCTTTTTTTTTTTAGTTTGTTTTATCGTAAAATACACATAACATACAACTTACTGTTCTAACTACATATCAGTGTATGTCTCAGTGGCATTAAATTCATTCATAAGATTGTGTGGTATGCTATTTCCAGAATTTCATCATCCCAGACAGAAACTCTACATTTTAAGTAATAATTGTTCATTTTCCCCTCCTCTTGGCCACTGGTAACATCAATTCTTTACTCCCCCCCCCCCACCGTGGTATCAGGGATTGAACCCAGGGCCTTCACACTGAGCTATTATCACTTGCCATTTTCTTCTTATTTTTTAATTTTGAGACAGGGTCTCTATAATTGCTGAGTTGATCTGTTGCCCAAGCTGCACTTGAATTTGAGATTCTCTTGTCTCACTCGTCTAGAGTGCTTGGATTACAGGTATGTACCACAATGCGTGGATCTTCCACTGTACTTTCTATAGTTATGTGCCTTGCTCTTTTAAATGATTTTTGAATGGAAATTCATGAACATTTCAAGAAGTCAAACAGTATAATACAGCACATTCAATGTTAAATGCTTCTCTGTTATGATTTGGTTATGAAATGTCACCCAAATGCTCATGTGTTGAAGCCTGGGCCCCAATGAAACAGTGTTGACATATGAGGTTTGGGGAAAATGACTGGGTCATGCAAGTTCTGACCTCGTGAATGGAGGAACCTACCAATGTACTCAAAGTTAAAGGGGTATTGGAAAGTGGTGGAGAATTTAAGAGGTGGTTCTTACTTGGAGGGAGTGCAACACTGAGGATGTGCCCTTGAAACCTATACTAGACCCCAGCACCTCTCTGTGTCTGCTTTCACATGGCCTTAAGGGAAGCAGCTTTGTTCTGTCGCACTTGCTTTCCTCTAGGACAGTAGTTGTGAATCTATAACATATGTGTTGTTTTTCGTTTAAGACAAAAGATATTAATGTATGAGTTTGTTTTTTCTAAACTAAAACTTCAGTATTCAGATTTAATTGTAATGCTGATGCTTTGCAATAAGTAAGTGGATTCTGGGTTGCAGTTTGGGCACTCATCTGTCAAACATTTGCCATCACAGCTTTAGGATGTCTGTCTCACCACTAGCTAAAACCTCTGAAACACACACTGTCTCTGTCTCTCTGTCTGTCTGTCTCTCACTCTCACTCTCACTCTCACTCTCACTCTCAGTCTCTGTCTCTATCTCTATCTCTATCAATACTAGGGATTGAATTTTAGTGGATTCAGATTAGTGGATCACAAGGACAAGAAAGCATACTCTGCCTCTTATGCTTCACTTCCAGTTTAATCAGCATCTTAGGTATCTTTATGGACCTGGTTCTGGTTTTACACAAGTCACTCACCTAACCCCAGCTTCTCCTCCCCCAGCTCTTGGCAACTTTCTGTTTGTACTTTGTATGAGTTTGACTATTTTAGATATTATATGAGTAGAATCACCCGTATTTGTCTTTTTGTGACTGACTTCACTTAGTATAATGTTCTCAAGGTTCATCCGTACTGTAACCTATGATAGGATTTCCTATCAGAACCAATAGCAATCATCCAACTCCCCAGTTGAACAATGTAAGAGAGCACACAGTGGGAACAAGGCAAAAATCACAACCCAGCTACCCTGGTTTTAAAGACTGAACTATATTCCATCGTATGTATATACCATATTTTCTTTATCTGTTAATCAATTGACAGACACAGATGGCTTTTAAATGTTTTTATTTTGAGACAGAATCTTATAAGCTGCCTAGGTTGGCCTTGAACTGATGATTCTGCTGCCTCAATCTTAACGGAAAGCATACCACCCTCCACACACAAACTTGAATTTTTGTTGTTGTTCTCGTTGTTTGTTTCTATAGTGGCCTTCCTAATAGGGGTGAGATGACATCTCATTGTGGACTTGATTTACATTTTCCTGATGATTACTGATGTTGGGTATCTTAGGTGCTTGTTGCCCTTTTCCTCACCTTTGGATAAATGTCTATTTTCCTTTTTTTAAATAGAGGTTTTGTTGCAAATATTTTCTCATTGTACAGGATGCATTTGCACTCTGTTGATTATGTCTTTTGCTATGCAGTTATTTTAAAATTTTTTATGTAGTCATATTTTTCCTTTTGTTTCCTTGCTTTGGGTGTGAATCATTAACTTTTACTTCTCAGAGGGCTAGACTTTCCTCAAGGTAACCAGGTTGTGATTTTTGTCTTATGTGCCTCAGTACTCTCTCAGAATGTTAAAGGAGAGTTAGCTGATTGCTATAGGTTCCCTGACAGTATAGACTCAGAGTTACCTTAGTTTTTCTGGACTTGAGAGAAAAATAGGAGGCCTGTGTGAAGGCATTGTTTCCACCTATTTTCTGGCTTCTTTTTCCCTTTTGCTACAAGTTAGAACTAGTTTCCCCAGGGACTTCCTGATCCTTCTTTTCCTTTCCTATCCATCTTGCAGGTGGAGCCTCTGAGCCAATGAGGTGAGCAGACAGGTTGACTTCAGACCAATGATAGGCTCTTGGGTTCCAAATTTACCAATCACTAGGGATAAGATGAATAACTAGCACTTGCTCTATTGTTCTCTTGTAATGAGCCTCTTGTTTTGCCTGTCAAGGATTTAAAGGTGCAAAATACCCCCACCCCATTTGGTGGCTTTAATCCATCTGTATAACTTTCGCCCAAGGCCAATAAAACACAAGCACTCTCTTTGTAAAAAGAAAAAAAAAAGGTTAGATTTCCTTCAGTTGTCTACCCTTTTGTGTCTTCTCCACTATTTTTGTTTTACTCTGTATTTAACTTTACCTAGAGGATCTTTGCGGAGGACCCGGCTTGTGCAAAAGCCTTTTCCTACAACTTGGGGTTTTGTGAGGCTAAGGGTGCTGGTGATGGGAGAAGACTTTGATCATAGTGTTCTGCATTTTATATTTATTGTGGGCTCTCACTCGCCCCTGGTCTTTCTCTTTTTTTCCCTCTCTCTTTTCTTTCTCTTGTCTCTTCTCAGTTTCTGTCTCTGTTTTTCGGTCTCGTTTGCACTACACACACACACACACACACACAGATACGCGCGCGCGCGCGCTTGCGCGCGCGCTTCCGCCAAGGCTCCTCTCGGTGTGTCTCGGTTCAAAATGACAGGGCGCTGGAGAAAAGGCTGCTGGAATCAGCTGGTAGGTACTGTAGTAACCCGAACCCCACCCACCCATTGCCTTGCTTGCTCAGGTTTCTCCGGTCCTTCCTGCTAGGGGAGAAAACAAGTAAACGCGCCTCCAGAGGAGGGGCTGGGGGAGCTGGGAGTGGCAGGGGCGATGGAAGGTGAGCCAGGGAAGGTGGCCTGGCGCCCTTGCTGCCAGAGCTCCTAGGAGGTGTAGCCTCAGCCCTGTTTGCACCCACTCCACCCCCCTTTTCGAAGGGGTTGCTTCCCCCCCCCCACCCTGCGGCAGCGGAAATGACAGTGTGGTGCTGTTGTGGTGTCATGGTGCTGTCCCTGGACTAAGGGGCGAAAACTCTTAAGTTTAGCCCAGGAGACCTAGCTTCGGCGGCGTCGCGGTTGCTGTGTGGCCCCCTGTGAGACGCGCGGGCTGGCGGATCAGTGCTGTGGTGCGGGGGCGGCGGCGGCGGTGGCGGAGGCAGCAGCGGGGAAGGCAGGCGGCGGCCTAGAGTGGCGGCGGCGGCAGCGGCAGCGGCAGCGACGGAGGCCCGGGAGCTGGCTCGGGAGCCCTAGCCAGCCCGCTGCGGAAGCAAGGCGAGCGCCGGGCGCTCTCGAGCGCGCGTAGGAGATGGCTGGCACCCGGGAACGCTACGGGTAAAACGCGCCCCCTCGCCGCAGCCCCGGGGGTCCAGCGTTGCCACACGCTAAGGGCTCGGCCCGGGCTTTGGCAGCTCTTCAGGTGCCTCCGGGGCCCAGTGCTGGTCAAGGGCTGCTGGGCTCGGTGGAAAGGGATAACAGGGCCCGCGAGGTTCAAAGCGACAGCTGCAGTGGCCCCGGCCCATCACCCGCTCCCCGTCGTGCCATTTGGGTGAGGGCGTCTGCTGCTGCTCTTCTGGAACTGAGTTTGCACTCCCGAGTGCCAGGCGGGGCGGCCTGAGCCTTGTCGCGCTGCTGGGCCGGGCCGGGCCGGGGGCGCTGGCACTAGAAGGGCTTCCTTGGATTCTGGGCGCTAGTCTGGGAAAGGGCACCGCCGCCTTCCCACGCTCCCGCGGTCTGCAGTTTTCTTGGCCTGGGCGGCGCCCCTCGGTCGGCAGTCTATCCAGCAGTGCTGGCGCTGCAGCCTGCGATGCTGCGGACACCCTGCCGGCGGGAGGCGGGAGGCCCAGCGAAACTTAATCCTTGTTCTCTGCTCGAAGTGCGATACTGCAGTTTCTCTTGGGTCCTTCCTTATTTCTGGCCTAGCTATGTAACCAGTTCTGTAGGGGAAAGGGAAAACTTACGTATGTCTACAGGACAGACTGTAACTAAGCCAGGGAAAGCTGGGGTTTTTCCATTTCTGGCTAGTAAGTAAATAATGGCGGGGTAGATTTACAGAAACATTACTGGTGATGATCTGGGTTAGGTTACTTAGCTCTTCGTGAGCAGCACATTATTTTTTGGAGGCATCTCTTCTTAGAGCAGGCAGTGGGGATCGTAGGTGGTTGGGCTCTTTACTTTTTCCACATTGCTCTGTTCTCCTTCGTAATCATCTTGTTTTGCCTCGTAACACCTTGTAGCACGCTTCATCTGCCAACGGATCTCGGTGTCCCCCAACATTTCTCTATCAACTTGTGTACTCCCAGCCTTGCAGCTTCTTGCTTCTCAATCAGATTGCCTTTTTGAGAATTTCTGAGTGTGGGGCCAGTGGATAGTGATGACTTTGTGTCTCTGAGGAGGCGCCCTCATGAAGGAGTATGTTGGGAACTGTAACTAGACAAGAACTATATGAGCGTTAGTTTTTTTGTTTCTCTATTTAGAACACAAAGGCTGCCTTTAACCCCTTCTGTACCCTCCCAGTACTCTAAATGGTTTTCTGGCAAAGTTCCACTCTCCTACCTTTCTTTGTTGGGGAGCTGTTTTGAGCTGCCTCAGAGGATTTTCCCTCCCCAGTCCTCTTTCTACTTCCTCTTCAGTCATCACTGCCCTGAGGGAGAAAGTGTTTCCTAATTTTATGTATTCCTGTCCAATCAATTAGCTTAATACAGAAACATACTGTGAATTAGAGTTCTCCTGATTGTTCCTCCCAAATTGAGGAGCCAAGAAGATCAGAATGCTCACCCCAAATCTGATGTTGCCTTGGCTTTATGGCAATAGGACATTCCTATGACCTTTTTTCATAATTGATGTATTTGTATAAAAGACATGATATTATGTACAGGATATTGTGAGTTTTGGCTTGGTCCTTTGATGATGAAAGATTCTAAAACTCTCAGCATTATACTTTTCTAAGAAAGCACCTGATTTACCTTTTCTTGGATTAGTGGATGGACTGGATGTAAGTAGGAATCCTAGTTCACAGCAACCTTAATTTGCCATTATTAGTCCCCCAGGAGTTTAATTCTATCATTGTATATAGGTCCTAACTCTGTTTTAAACTCCTCAATGCATGTATAAGAGGATAAAAGTATACAAATAGGTATATAGAGTAGTGGTGATGATTTTGTGTTGTGTATGATATCTAAGATGCTTTCACTTAACAATCTGAGTCAGACTCATTTGAAAACATAACTTTAGAGGCTGGGGATTTATCTCAGCGGCATATATGCCTGCCTTGCAAGTGTGTGGTCGTGAGTTTGATCCCTGGTACCGATAAAAAAGAAAAAGACCAAAAAAAAAAAAAAAAAAGAAAGAAAGAAAAGAAAACATAAGTTTAACGATTTTTAGCCTATGTAGGGGCAGTCAATTAATTTCTAATAAAATGGTAAAAATAATTTCAGACCTGGCCATATAAACATGATTAGCATCTAGCAACAGTGAGTCAACAATATTATACACCTATAATGTGCACAGTTCTCTGCTGAGTGGGCTGAGATTCCAGACTTGGCACAACGTTTTGTCCTCTTGTTTGGTCAAGACAGAGTCCTTATTTCTGCTTCAGGATTAGGATGTAAGAGCGCTGTGTTGGGCAGGGCAGAAGTGAAAGACAGAAGGGTTGATTGTGTTTCTCCTATTTTACTTTCTTGATGCTAGAATTCTCATTTAGCATGTTGTACCTTGCAAGGCCACCTCCAGGAAATACTGTTTCAAATCAGAGTGACTTGGTTGCTTCATAAACATATCATCAGAACAGTGAAAATTGATTCAGATGAAATTGGTTTAGTTAATCCCTCTAAAGCAGTGCAACTTGCTCCAACTTGCAGATTTTAAAGTAGCACCAGTAGAGTCTCATAATTGCATCCAGATATTTCTGGGTAGTAAGTCTGTCCATTCCTTCATCCCTCCCATAAAATCTGCTGACACCACAACTGAGAAGGAAACTACAGAAGGAGTATGTCTTTGTCACTCAGCAAACCTTACTGGCTTGCTGAAAAGGAGAGAATGCTGTTTTTTTTTTCATTCTGCCCCTTCAAACTTAAGTTTTCTCTTATTCAATTAGAACATAGAGCTCTAGAGAGGGTGAAGACAGGGCTGAGGCATGGAGTATGTCTCAAATGGCTGTTCTTGGAGGTACTTGCATGAATTCATGTGTTTCTGTTACTCAGATTTTATGGATCTTGATAAGTTCCTAGCTGTTGCTAGCTGGATTTGGCTACCAGAGGAGGCCCAAGGATTTGCCATTTCCATTTGGTGTTATATTTTTGTCCCCTCGTTTGTACAAAAGAAAAAATGAGGCTTTGTCTTCACGAAGCACATTCTTACCTAACTTGGGTGTTTTGACTTGGAACATTGCATCATCAAAATTTGAAGTATAACATGTTCATACTGGATATACTGCAGTTCAGGAGAGTTCAGAACTATTCACTTTTTGATGGATGAAATTTTGATGACAAGATATTATTGTATTACTGCTTATTTCAGATTTCTCAAAAACATTGTGCTCATCACTGACAGTATACAGAAGAGACAAGAAAACTATTTTTCAACCAGTGTGTTGGGTTGCACCTTTGATCTTTGAGAAGATCAAATGAAGTGGTGTTAGGACAAGAAATTTCAACTCCAGCTATCCTCCAGACTGCTAGTTGTATTTAGTTCCCTTTGTTTCCAAGGGTTAGTATATGTTTACTCTTATTTTTCTGTATTAAAACTTTGCTAAGAGTTTTCTATGGGTTCTAGAGGTCTGTGACACTTTCTGTTACATTTTTCATCTTTTTTATCATAACCGTAAGTAGATACAATATTTCTGATGGTCTTCCAGATCCTTCATTTTCCCTTAGAAATCCTATAAGGTAGTATAAGATGTTGTAAAGTATGGGGGGGTGGAGGGATTTTGAGTGGTGCTCCAGTATCTCACCATTTCTTCTCCACATGGGGTGAGTTCACCTGAATACACACTAGGATACTGGTTTAGCCTAAGCAGATTAGCAAAGCACCATTTATAAGAGTTATTCCTCTTGGGTTCATGACGACCTGCAGCATTCTGACTGCCTGACCCTGGGGTTTGTCTCTAGCCTTTTTCCTGCAGGTCAGTCTCTGGTTGATAAACAGCGTCTCTAGTGTCTGGGACATTCATTATCTTACAGAGACCAGATGATCTCATAACAACCTCATTATATAACCTAAAACCCTCCTGAAATACATAATCCAGCATTTGCAAATTGGCTTGTTAGGAACATAATGTATAGCATGGCAGATATGCCGGTGCAAGACAAGCAAGTATCTGAATATATACCAACCCAGAGATAGAAAAAAGGTTTACAGTTCAGAATTCGCAATCACTTTTTCTATAGCCCTTTGTTCAGTGTTGCTAGGATTCATGTGGTTCCCAAGAGAGTAGAAGCTTGATTTCAAATAGGCTTCTGTTCTCTGTCCCTTGTTTCTGACCTGAACTTTGGGTTCTCTCAGTATAACATTCAACAGTATGCCCTACATACATATATGTTGCCAGTTTCACTCTGTGGAAGTAGAGATAACTGCCCATCCAGGTGGACCGCTGAATTTTTAAAAATGCACAAATATTTCATTGGGAAACAGATTGGGAAAAGCTGCCCTAGAATAGCTGAAAAGCTGTACTAGAAGCAATAGGTAAGTTTAGTCTCCATTTGTTCCTCAACCTTATAACCTTGCAATAATAGTCAGCATTAAAGTGATAGTGCTATGAATTGTGCTTGAATTCCTGTCAAGTATCAGTTGTTACCCTGATAAATTCATTTCTTGGTCACTTAGATTAATCTTTTGCATTCATATCAGATTTAGGGCCTTTAGTTCTGCTATTTTGATATTAACTTTAATGTTTATGGTGACTATATTGTATAACATACCCAATAGTTGGATTAGGAGCTAATTACTGAGAAGAAAAAAATACCATTCAATTTATGCACTATAAAATATTAAGTAGGCTTTAATAATCTATTACACAGGAACTGTCTCTGGTGATCAAACTTCAATCTTGAGTTTTCCCTTTGTATTTTGAGAACTTAAGAGAAAAGAACTGAGATAGTTCTTCTGATGGGGAGATCCTAGCCTAAGGGGAAAGTCATATGAGTATAAAAAACATCACAGTTAGGCCCATGCTCCTCTGGAAATCATTTTGGAAGTGTGATTTTCCTCCATTATGTTAACCATGTGTTTGGGGGTAAATTTCCAAACACTTTCAGAATTTTAATAAGCTTCATGTCTCTCATATGTGAATGTATGATGAGATACTAATATCTGTAAAACAGGCTAACAATTTTATT